GTGTGAGAGGTCAGAGAGTAGTCAGTGCCAGGGAGAAACACAAAGCTGGGAAGAGCTTTCTCAAAGGAAGGATCAGAAAGGACCTCCTGTTCGGGTGACAGTTGAGCGGAGACCGGAGGGAGGTAGGGAGCTATCTTTGTGGTATCTGGCAGAAGACCAACACAGGAAGGACAGGCTCCTGCGGGGAGTCTGGGGTGCACGTGGACTAGCAGGGCGTCATAGGCTCTTCCGTGATTTGTCAGGATTGAGCAGCACACAGCTCGTCTCAATCTAGTGCAGGAATTTTATGCTTCAATATTTTTTTGTTTCATGGGCACTGTAAATTTTATCACTCTTCAGGTTTTTTTCCTCCTAAATCTCTTTTGAGTGTGTTTAACTTATAAATTGACTCTAAGTTTTTAACATGCCTTTTTTTAAAAACACATTTAAACCAGTTGTATGTGTACAAATCAGTAGTATTAAGTGCATTTGGTGTTGGGCAGCCATTACCACTTTCCGTGCTCCTAACTTTTTCATCATTCCCACCCCTCTCCCTACCTCCATCCCCTCCTAATGTTCACTATACTTGTCTCTGTGATCTGGGTGCCTCATCTAAGTGGAACTGTATTATGTGTCTGGCTTTGATTTACCCATTCATCTTTGAGCGTCATGTGGGTCGTTTCCACCTTTTGGCTATTGCAGATAACGCTGCTATGAACACGGGTGTAGCAGTATTGAGTCCCTGCTTTGAGTGTGTATCTAGAACTGGAATGCTGGACCACATGGTGATGCTACATTGAACTTTTTTGAGGAACCACCAGCCATTTTGCATTACTAGCAGCAGCTCATAAGGGCTCCAATTTTTCCACATCCTTGGTACCCTTGTTCTTTCCTTTTTGAATAGGTATGAGGTGGTACCTCCTTGTGCTTGAGGTTTGACTCTTTCACCAGCTCCTAAATATACAGACGAATTTGTGATGCGTCCCCAAAGGTGTATACATTTTTGTGTGGCCCAAGTGGCTTTATTTTTTCACCCAAAAGGAAAAGAATGTATAGTCTGTAGTTGTAGGATGGAATGTTCTGTGTCTGTTAAGTCCGTTTGGTCTAAAGTCCAATGTTGATTTTCTGTTCTGATTATCTGTCTAGTGCTGCGAGTGGGGTGTTGAAGTGCCCCCACTATTACTGTTTTGCTGTCTTTCTTTAGGTCTGTGAATCTGGGTGATATTGGGTGCACATATACGTAGAATCATTGTATCTTCTTACTGAATCATCCCTTCAGCAATATCCAATGACTTCCTTTTTTTATTGTTTTTGATTTAAAGTTGACTTTATGTGATATGAGTATAGTTACTACTCCCGTTCATTTTTTGTTTACATGGAGTATCTTTTTTATCCCTTCACTTTCAGTCTGAATGTGTCTTTATGGGTAATATGAATTTCTTGGCTCATTTTTTTTCTTTTTTTAGGAGATGGGGGTCTCACTTTGTTTCCTGCAAATAGAGTGCTGTGACATGATCATAGCTCACTGCAATTTCAGCCTCCTGGTCTCAAGGGATCCTCCTTCCTCAGTCTCCTAAGCAGGTAGGACTACAGGCATGTGCCACCACACCTGGCTAACTTTTAAATTTTTTGTAGAGATAGGGGTCTCACTATGTCTCTCTGGCTGGTCATAAATAATAATTATTATTTTTTATCCATTCTGCCCATCTATATCTTTAAAGTGGAGCATTTAATCCACTTATGTTCAAGGTTGACATTGATATGTGAAGCTTCATTTTTGTCATATTGTTAGTTGATTTCTAGTTTTATACATTTTCTTAATCTCTTTTTTGTCTTTGTGGTTTGCCCAACTTCTCCCACATTGCTATGTCCTTCTTTTTCTCCTTTGTGTGATTGTTTTACAAGACCTGTGGGCTTTATATTTTCATGTTTTCATGAAGGTGAATAATGATCTTTTGGTCCCATGTTTAAGCCTCCTTTGCACATTTCCTGTAGTATCAGTTTAGTGGTGACCAGTTCTCACAGTATTTGCTTAAGAAAGACTTAATTTCTCCATTTATGAAGCTTATTCTGGCAAGATATGATTCTTGGCTGACACTTGTGGTTTTTTCTTTCAGCACTTAGAAAAGCCATTCCATACTCTTCTGGCCTTTAACATCTGCTGAGGTCAGCTGTCAATCGGATAGGGTTTCCTTTATATGTGACAAAAGAGTTTTCTCTTGTTAATTTTGAAATTTGCTCGATTTTTTCATTCTAATACACTATGGTGAAGTCCTTTTGCAATGTAGTCGCCTGAGGATCAATGGGACTCCTGTACTTGAGTTTCTCTCTTGCTAGTCCTAACTATAAGGGGGCTAAAGCGGTGATAATCCAGTTTTAGTCCAATGGCAGGCTGTAGTCCAGACTCAAACTCTCATAATGCTGCCTTGGACCTGCCATTGTAAAGGCTGGGCCACACCCAGGTAAGCAGCTCGGAAAATGCTGTGTGCTCAGTTGTCAGCAGGAGCCCAGCAGGACAGTGGAGACCTTCTCGGGGTTCATGTGAGCACTTGGCTCCTTTACCTCTCCTTGAAGCCATGTGGTGGCTGCACGTGTGCTGCAGGCCCCCAGCATTTAGCTGTCAGGATGGCACTCAACTCAAGCTGCTCTAGGCTTGGATGCCTGTGGGATTCTACACAGGTTCCTTTCTGGAGCAATGTCTCTGTACAATCTCCAAGCAGCTCCGTATTATAGGCCTGAGATTTGTGTGGGTGCGGAGGTTCTCTTGTAGCATAGAATATAGAAGCTCATCTTGGAGAATGGAGTCTTGAGAGCTTCTTCCTTACCAGGGAAACTCATTTCCCTATATCCAAGGAGCTTCTCTCAGCTGTTAGCTAGTTCCTGGGTGAGTAAATTGCTCTGAACCCTCTCTGTTACCACTTTCGGTGCTTCCCATCACTTTGCTGGTGAATCCTAGAATTCTCTCCTAGATAACCTGTTTGAAATGTGAGAATCTGCTTACTATTCTGGTTCCTCTCCACAGAAGAGGCACATACTTATTGTGCCCAGTTGGCTACCTTGATTCTCTCCAGAAGGCAAGACTTTCCTTTTACAATAGCCTCTATGTGCATACTCAAAACCCATATAATTGAATGTTTACTGAATTAGCTGCTAATAATGTCATGTACAATATGAGATGCCCATACTGCCATTAATATTTTCAAAAAATTATCACACTCCTGAAGGAACCAAGTCTAAACAGCTGGTCTTTCATTAAATCGTGAAATATTTACTGGACGCCAGTTATGTACCATACTTTCTCTCTGGCAACACCCCCCCCCAAATGCGGGGTGAACAGGTGGATAGAGCCACTGTACTTACCAAACACAAACCTCACTAATGAAAATCTCATAGGTATTAGGCCAAGCATTCTTGAACAGTGTTTTGATGCCCTTCCCTCTTTAAAAAGTTTGAGGAAACAAATTCTTATAAAATGGAAATCTTTAATTGTTTAAAGCAAAGGCACAAGTAAACATTTTAAGTTATCATACAATGTTACAATAAAAAATTCTGACAGGAAAACGAAATACACCATAACTTTGCATCTCTCTGGTGCATCAAACGTATTATTCTACCATCTCCTCTTTGAAGTGAAAAGAAGAAATAGGTAGGTCAATAGGTGTGATGTAAAACTTGGGTTATAAATAGCAACTACCATTCTTTTAACCAGAAATTTTAATTTCAGTAGAATTTTTAAAATTTACTTTTATTATTGACAGAGCAGCAATTACTTTCAAGCCAAACTCACTGTTTTTAATAAGTAATTCACTGACTTCATGAAATGTTAGTTGACAGTGTCTCGTACTACATTAATCAAGCTGATCATGAAATGTAATTCATATACTTATCTTACTTTAAATCTGAGTATTATAGTGCATTATGTAAAAGATAAATGAGAATAAGGAACCATATGATTTCTTATGATGTCAAAAACAATGCATTTTAATAGGTCTAGACCTTATTTTCAATCAAAGGCACTATCTGGAGAGTAACAAGCTGCATCATGTTCAGAGCTGAAAAAAAGTTTCTTTTTCTTCCCTTTTTCCCTTCCAATGTAACTGGCCAGTTAGCTGGAATGTGATGTCTCAGTTAGTTAGCAAACATTGAGTGCCTTGTATCTAGCAAAAAGAAAAAAGGGCAGAAAGTATGTAAAGACCTAGCTTTGACTTCTTTTTCCAGGAAGATAAAATTTATCATTCTTGTTTGTTTGTTTGTTTTTAGAGACAGGGTCTCACTCTGTTGCCATGGCTGCAGTGCTACCGCTGTTTATAGGCACAATCATAGCACATTATTGCCTGAAATTCTTGCCTTAGCCTTCTAAGTATCTGAGACTGTAGATGGGTGCCAGTTTTTAAAAATGCTGAAGCGTTTTTGATCTAAAATATCTCTGCTTGATTACCTCAATGCGACTTCCATTTCGTTCAGATTATTACAGCCTCTACTCTGAGCCTTTGAACCCAGGATGGCAACGACACCAGGCAGGTAATATCTCAAGTGAGCCAGTTTTCCCACTGTGAGTCAATTCATTCTTCCTTTCCCCCCTAAATATTCCTCAACTCTAAGTGTTCAACTGAATAACATTTAAATAACACAAAAAAAAAATAAGTAAAAATCCATCAAGAAAACATTGTTTAATGCCTCAGAATGTTATTAATATAACATCCTTATATTAATCTGGATTAAATCAGGACACAGTATTCTTTTGCATCCTAAAGGCCAGGAAGATTTTAAACTCTTCTAAGGTTTATTCGAATCAGATTTTTTTTTTTTTTTGAGACAAGAGTTTCACTTTGCCACCCTTGGTAGAGTTCCATGGTGTCATAGCTCACAGCAACCTCAAACTCTTGGGCTCAAGAGATTCTCTTGCCCCAGCCTCTCAAGTAGCTGGGACACAGGTGCCCGCCACAATGCCTGGCTATTTTTAGAGATGGGGTCTTGGTCTGGCTCAGGCTGGGCCTGAACCTGTGAGCTCAGGCAATCCACCTACCTTGGCCTACAGAATGCTAGGATTACAGGTGTAAGTCACTGTGCCCGGCTGAATCAAAGATCTTGAATGAGAAGAGTGATGTTTCTAGTTTTTCACTGTCCAAAGAAGATCAAGAATATCAAGAGAGTAAGGTTCATTTACCATGATTCCTCTTTTGTATATTCTACTGGTTAAGAAATCTAGACCACTATTCTTTTATCATCTAACTCCTAACCAAAAATGGTACATAGGAAATTTCCTAAGAATATCTTTCAAAGTTTAGAATTCAAACAGATTCTAGAAAACTGTTATTATTTTAAAGTCAAATTATAGCATTTACTCAATGATGCTTACCTTGAAGGTCAATGCTACCTGCTTTAAAGAACAATGCTAAGATTCTGGAATTCTTTCCTTTCTTTCCCTCTCTCTCTGTCCAAAGATATAGGTATTCTTCCAAAAGTTTCTACGGACCAACGACTTCACCGTATAAAACATCTGACACACTTTCCATTTTGAATAGTTCTGAGCATAATATCCATGCAATTTTACATTTCCAAATCATTAGCTCAACAGTAAAATCATATGGTTTGTTCTATTGAGCCAAACTGAAGAAGTAAACTCAATTTTAGTGTGTCTGGATCAAGAGTTAGCAAACCTTTTCTGTAAAGGGCCCAACAGTAAATACTTTAGACTATCTGGGCCAAATAGTCTGGTAAAACTATCCACTCTGCCACTGTAGCACAAAAGCAGCCACAGACAATATGTAAACAGGTAAGGATGGGCGTGTGCCCATACAACTTTATTTATGAATACTGAAATTTGAATTTCATATAACTTTCATGTGACACAAAATATTTTTTAATTTTTTCCCATTTTTAAAAAAGTAAAAACAGGCAGCTGACTGGAATTATCTCATGGGCTGCACTTGGTTGACCTTTGGTTCAGATCCTTCAGATTTCTAGACATGGGGGGGAGGGTGTCAAAGCAAGAATATGACCACGAATCATCTCCCTGCACTTAAGCACTGACAGCCATTAGGCTGACAGTAAAGAACCCCAAAAGAGAATCCCCAAAGCACCAGACAATTCTAACAGTAGGGACTACATTCATGAACAATGTAGAGCTTATGAGTGCTGATATTCACATATCTCTATCTGTCATTATATTCAGGAAACACATTTAAATCAAATTCATTTAAATCACATTGTTAGAAAACTGAGAAATTCATTCACTAGCTGAACCTTTCAAAACCTTTGGTGTTACAGAGATCTGGATTAAAAATCTTGTCCCTGGTACTTACTGGCTTGGGACCACTAGTAATTTACTTAAGCACTAGAATCTGGCCTGGTGCTACGGACAGACACAGAAGGCATGTTTTTGATCTCATTTCTCAGGCAAACAGCTACAAAGGCCTTGCTGGAGGCTTACCTCCTGGTTTTAGAAAGCCAACAACTTTTGTCTCTGCTACTCCATTTCATCCTGTAACTTCTTTTCCGGCATGAACAACTGTGCAAAGTGAGGCACATACGAAGTTCTACTTTTCTCTTTTCCCCGAGGCTCTATTTTTCATAGTCTACTAACAAAAATGAGAGTGGAAAGTGCCCAGTCAACACATTCCTGTCACCATAATATAATGTAAGTTGGGTGTTTCTTCCAATTTATGACAGGCAATGACAGTATTCCATTTTCTAGGGGAAAAAAGTCTGAACTATAAAAAAAGGAAAAACTGGTAAGAAAAGACTTTTATGGCTTTATCTATAGATTAAAAACTAGAGAATCTGAAGATGTTCATAGATTTGTAGATATAACTGCTGTGCATCTTGGAGCTTAGCCCATTACTTAAATTACATTACGTAAAATAAAAACACTAAGTAGTATGTGCTATAACCTGTTTAACCATGAAAAATTCATCACATACATAGGAAGTAAAAGATTTTACCAATAGTGTTTTTGAACAGGCATCAGTTATGAATCTGTTAGTGTTGAATGCTAAGCAAAATGCTAAAGCTCTTAAAATATTAGTGTTTGGTTTTATTTTTAACTTTTCAATTTACTTTTAGCCTACTATTTACAGAAGTCTTGCTAGAATGCTGAAAGCAGTCACTCTGCAACATGTATGGTCATCATATAAAATGTTATTGGGGCTGGTGTGCAGATTCATAAATATATACAACAAATGAACAATGTATTTGTAGTTAATCTACTGTGACTAGTAACTAACACATGGAAGCATCATATGCACATAAAAATTAAAAGAAAACTTAAAACTCTCAAAACAGACAACCATTAATTTTTGTTTACGAATTTATACAGAAAAAAGGTTTTGTGTTTGGGAACTTTCAGTGGCCCACTCATAAAACAATAATTTTCATGGAAAAAAAAATACCCCAAACATAAAACAGAAGGTAAATAAGATGTATGTCTTGGTCATATGTCTGCAGACAGCCACCTTGAAAGCAAATTGATAAACATAAATATACAATTTGTTCACAGAGCATAAAATATTGCACAAGAGCAGTTTTGTCTGAAGAAAATAATTTTCCATAGTTTTGAACTTCAAAATGGTTCCCACATAGATAGCTGCGTTTTTAAACAAGCAACACTAATATTCAATAATACTGTTAGGATCTTATTTTACCCATTAACCACATTCCAGTCTACTTTATGGCAATGGTTAAGTCAGTGGTAAAGATTTGGCAAAGATTAAAAGTCAGGTAAGATTATAAAATATCTATGTACATATGAAACAGATTAAGTTCCCAAATCCCTAATCATAGAACTGATCCCTTAAAGAAATCCGCAGTCTAGGTCACAGTGATGGTCAGACAGTGGTTGAGTAGGACTCTCTTCTTCTCGGGGGCCGCTCTTTTTGGTCCACTCCATCGCGCTCTCTGGTCTCCAGGACACTGTCTTCTGTTTCACTCTCACTATCATCTGCCACAGCAGGGTTCAAAGACATTGGGCCAGATTTTCTGTGCAAAGGAAAACCAATGCCACTTTCCTGTAAGGAATTATCTATAAAATCTTCATCAGAGGAATGGAATGATTCATCATCTCCTATCAAATGGTTGACAATGTGGATTCCATCAAAAGGAGGTTGGCCTGAGAAGCCCCTCTGGCCTTTTAGGCACCTGAGCTGTTAAAACAAAATCCAAGTTAGTGTACTCAAATGGAGAAAACACACACATACACCGAGAATGCAGACCTTTCATGTTTAAGGGAAAAGACATGTAAAGAATAACTATGAATTTTTGAGTGCCTTTTATATGTTATACAATGAGCATGTAACTTATTTTAACTGAATCATCACAACAGTCCTTTATGGTAGATTTTTTTATTCTCTTTCTACAGATTAGAAAATAGAGAATCAGGTGGAATAACCTGCTGAGGACATAAAGCTAACCACAAGAGTTTAGATTCAAACTGGATTTTTATTACACTAGAGAGAATATGATAAATTCCACGCACCCATCTCCTAATTTCAACAATTGAAACACATCATGGACAATCTTGTTACATTATACCTCTCTTGTTCCTGGATAATTCTGAGGTAAACCCAGACATCCTATCAGTTACCTGTAAATATTTTACTTGGATTTTGGGAAAACAGAAACTTAAAAGACCATACTCTGAACTATCACACACCTCACCCTATCTTGAGAGAACATGTCTCCATAATTGAGTGTTAAAAATGTTTGCAAATCATTAAAATTTGCTAAGGGTCTCCATCCTGCTGTAACACCCCAAAGACTGCCGTACCACTGTCACCCAGAGAACAGGAGTGCTTCTTCCCACTAATGAAGCTTCCTTCTGCGGGACAGGTGTGCCAGTCGGGTGTAACATTTCTGCCTCCCCACCCCCCGCCCCCGGAAGGAGAGAGAGGGAGGGAGGGTTGGCACGCATGCACTGCTTTCCTTCTCCTTCCATCTTTGGGAAACAGGTTCTGTTTCTCTGTGCCTGGAGTTTCATAGGACCAGAACCTCATGTGGGGTGAGGAGGTCAAATGCTACCTATTACTTGGTGAGCAAGCCTGACTAATTTTAGACTTCAGAATTGAAAAACTGTTGTCTCTTCTAAATCGAAACCACATTTTTAAAACCAGTTTTATTTAGGACTTTTTTTTTTTTTTTTTTTGCAGTTTTTGGCCAGGGCCAGGTTTGAACCCACCACCTCTGGTATATGGAGCTGCCTTTTATTTAGGATTAAAGGTGATTTCTTTTCATCAATTTCCTTGCCTAAGATTCTTCAACCCCCCCAAACCTACCATCAGGAAGACATTAGCCCTGTCCTCAAGAGTTTTGTTTTGGATATAGTTTAATTTTTTTTTTTTTTGAGACAGAGCCTCAAGCTGTCACCCTGGGGAGAGTGCCGTGGCATCACAGCTCACAGCAACCTCTAAGTCCTGGGCTCAAGCGATTCTCCTGCCTCCACCTCTCAAGTAGCTGGGACTTTAGGTGCCCACTACAACATCCAGCTAATACATTTTAATTTTGATATCTCATTGCTTATTTCATTTCTGCCATCCACCATGAATTTGCTCCTACAGTAAAACCAGTAACAAAAATAAACAAAAAATAATTAGCTACTAAGTACCTACTTGGCTATTAACAAAGAATCTTGCTAAAACATAGTCCATGTCTCCTACCCTCATCCTTGTTTATCAGGGACAAACTCCTAGTCACTATCTTTCAGATCTCCAGATAAGGCTATGTGAAATATTCAGGAAATATTACACACACTTTCAAAACTAACGGTCTGAGAATAAAGACATGACAGCCTTGCCATGATACCTCCCAGCTTTCCTGATGGACTCCCAGGAAGGAGTGAAGAAACCTCAGCACTTCTCTGCTTGTGTATGATAATGGGAGGCAGGAAAGATGCTGGGACTAAGTACAGTGATATCTGGCTGAAGGAGACCTTGACTCTAAAGAAATCCTTGTGCTCTAGATCAAGAGGAAAAAATTATAGTAAGGTACAATGCAATTTAAAGAATACCTTTCTCGTTGGCAGAACAGAAGGGATCTATACTTGGAGTTGGATCTTTAGGAGAGGGTCACAGAGCACCACAGAGACCTCCTCAAGGCTGTGATACTCACTGCGTTATTACAACTGCCACATTCTGATGCAACATCCTATCCCCAGATTGCAACACATGATTTACAGCTCTAAGTGTAAAATTAAGTCAGTTAATCTCTTCCTTTCTCTTTTTCCCCAGACTTTTTTGAAGAAATAACATGGAACTGCACCTTCCTTCTTCCTGGCTGTTATAAAGGAGGAGGATGGCAGATGAACCCCAACTTCCCAGTTGTTTGGAAAGCTGTGGCTTTCATTTGCTCTAACAAAATTTATAGGAATTAAAACACTGCAGCTTCATATCAGATGCAATTATAGAAAATTAAGTATGTTGGCGGGGCCTGTGGCTCAAAAGGGTAGGGCACCGGTCCCACATGCCAGAGGTAGCGGGTTCAAACCCGGCCCTGGCCCATAACGAAAATTAACTATGTTGAGAGGTCATTTCCTCAATATCAAAGGAATCTGTTTATTTGAGAACTGCTAATATAGGATAGCAAAGGCAGGGGAATTTTTGGTGGGGAGAAAAAATGGTGAAGGCAAAAGAACTATCTGGTAAACTCAAGCTTATCTCTTGGATTTCGGAACATGCATACTGGTTCTGATGGAGGAGGAGGCCTATCAGGCCCTGGGAGTGGGCATGTGGGCAAACAATTCTAGGGTACTTAGTACCCAGAAAAAGGTCTATCTGGGGTCAACTTCAGGTGGGCATGTTCTCTGAGAGTCCTTATTCTGTGGAGAGGAGTTTGGCTGGAAGGAGGCCACTGGGCCTCTAATATGTTGGGGGTAGGGGCTCTCCTTACCTGACTCTAAACACAACGCTGCTTATCTTTACTACCAGACTTTCAGGAGCTATACATATACATCTATCTATCTATCTATCTATCTACACACACACACACACACACACATATATATTTTAAAGACAAAGAGTCTCACTTTGTCACCCTTAGTAGAGTGCTGTGGAGTCATAGCTCATAGCAACCTCAAACTCTCGGGCTTAAGTGTGTGTAATATTACATATACACATATATTTTTTAAGACAAGAGTCTCACTTT